GGTATCAGTAAAGCATTACTGTGTTTTTTTATAATTCAGATGAGTAAGGAATTGAGATGGAACATGCTGCAGAGATTCCCAGGTCTTCTGGTAAAATCTGCATTTCTAGCATTGAGGCAGCACAAAATGATGTTTTAAGACTGACTGTTTTCAACATGTAGCTGATATAAATATTAAGAGGTCTGTTAAGGTGTGTAACTGCAAGAGAAAACAGTTATGTGATCCTGAGATCCATAGCCCCTAATGTGTCCTCCTGAGTTCAGTAGGAGTAGTTCTTTAAGTATAACCAGAAAAAAGTCAAGGTTTAGTAATAACTTTCTTTTTATCTAGTAGCTCAAATGTCTGTTCAAATTCTGTGCCTTTTAATACAAGGTATTGAGTTCTTACATAGGTGGTTAAAACCTGTGTCTTTTGCTTTGTCTGAATACAGTATTTAAGGTGTGGCCTCACCAGTGCTGAGTACAGGGGGACAATCACTTCACTAGTCCTGCTGGCCACATTATTTCTTATACAACCATTGGCCTTCTTGGCCACTTGAGCACACTGCTGGCTGATGTTCTTCTGGCTGTCAACCAGCACCCTCAGGTCCTTTTCTGCTGGGCAGCTTTCCAGCCACTCTTCCCCAGGTCTGTAGCTTTGCATGGGGTTGTTGTGACACAAGTGCAGGATCCAACACTAGGCCTTGTTGAACTTCATACAACTGCCCTTGGTTCATCGATCCAGCCTGTCCAGGTCCCACTGTAGAGCCTTTGTACCTTCATACAGATAAACATTCCCTCCCATCTTAGTGTTGTCTGCAAACTTACAGAGGGTATGCTCAATCCCCTCATCCAGGTAATTGATAAAGATATTAAAGAGAACTGTCCCCATTAGTGAGCTCTAGGGAGCACCACCTGTGACTGGCTGCTAGCAGGATTTAACTCCATTCACCCCAAATCTTTGGGCCTGACCTTCCAACCAGTTTTTTACCCAGTGAGGAATACACCAGTCTAGGCCATAAGTAGCCAGTTCCTGCAGGAGAATGCTGTGAAAAGCAGTGTTGAAGGCTTTACCTAAGGTCCAGATAAACAACATCCACAGCCTTCATGTCCTAGGTGGGTCACTTTCTCATAGAAAGAGGTTAGTTTTGTCAAGCAGGAATTGTCTTGTGAACCCCTGCTGACGAGGCCTGATCACCTGGTTGTCCTGCACATACTGTGTAGTGGCACTTGAGATGATTCAACACTGAGGTCAGACTGAGAGGCCTGTGGTTCCCCAGGTCCTCCTTTTGGTCCTTCTTTTTCGATAGAGGTCACATTTGCCAATCTCCAGTCTTCTATGACTTAACTAGTTAACCAGGACTGCTGGTAAATGATGAAAAGTTTCTTGGTTGAGCACTTCTGCCAGCTCCCTCAGTACTCTTGAGTATATCTCATCTGGCCCCATGGACTTATGTATGTCTATGTGGTGCCACAAGTTGCTTATCATCTCTTCTTGAATTATGGGGGCTACAGACTGCTCCCCATCCCTGTCTTCCAGCTCAGAGGACTAGGTACTCAGCAAACAACTGGCCCTACTACTGAAGACTGAGGCGAACAAGGCATTCAGTACCTCAGCCTTCCCCTCATCCTTAAACACTGTGTTTCCCTCTGCATCTAATAAAGGATAGAGGTTCTCCTAAGTCCTCCTTTTGTTGCTTATGTATTTGTAGAAACATTTATTACTATCTTTACCAGCAGAAGCCTTGTAAATTTTGCATTGAGCTTTGACCCATTTAATTTTCTCCCTACATAGCCTCATGATGCAGTTGTAGCCCTTCATAGCGGCCTGCCCCTTTTTCCAAAGCCCATAAACTCTCTTTTTACCTTGAGCTGCAACCATATCTCTCTATTCAGCCAGGCAGATGATCTTCCCTGCAGGCTGATCTTTCAGCACAGGGGAACGGCCTGCTCTTGCGCCTTTAAGACTTCCTTCCTAAAGAATGTCCAGCCTTCCTGTACTCTTTTGCCCTTCAGGACCGCATCCCATAGGGCTCCTTCAACCAGTCTCTGAAACAGACCAAAGTCTGCCTGCCAGAAATACAAAGTAGGAATTATTGTCACATCCTCCACAAGTCCGTCTCTGTTGTCAAAGAGCAGGTCTAGCAGGGCACCTTTCCTACTTGGCTCCCTCACCATCTGTATCAGGAAGATATCCTCCACAAAGTCTAGTACTTCTGAGGCTGTTCCATCTCTGCTGTATATTTCCAGCAGACATCTGGGAAGTCGAAGCCCCTGATGAAAACAAGGGCATGTGATTGAGAATTCTCTCAGATGCTTATAGAATATTTTATATCTCTTTGTCCTGGTTGGATGGTCTATAACAGACTCCCACCAAGATCTCTGCTTTTTTGGCCATCCCCCTGATCCTTACCCACGAATTTTCAACCCTCTTGTCATTATCATTAAGTGCTAGGCATCATAACACTGTAACACACAGAGTCGCCACACTGTTCTCCTTCCTTCCTTATCCCTTCTGAAGAACTTGTTGCCAATAGTTGCAGCACTCCCATCATGTGAGTTGTCCCACCCTTGTTTCTGTGACAGCAACTGTATCAGTGTTTCTGCTGCACAGTGTCTTCCAGCTTCACTTGTTTGTTGCCCGTGTTGCATTCATTAGTGTAGATGCACTTCAGCTGGGCTGATGGCCCTGCCATATTTTTGAGAATAGAAGTCCTAGTTCCTACCAGACTGTTCTGGGCTACTTCTGTGGTACCTAACCACCAATAATTCTTGCATCTTTGTTGCTGCATGAATCTCCGTCCCCTACCTTCATTGCAACAGCAGACTGAAAGACCTCACTAGCACACCATCTCTCAAATATTCCTGTACTGGCCCCAGGCTTATTTCTAGCAAGCCCAGTTTTGTGCCCTTCCCCCTTCAAATCTACTTTAAAGCTCTGTCAATGAGCCCTGCTAGCTCTTGTGACAGTATCCTTTTCCCCCTTTGAAACAGGTGTACCCAGTCTCTTGTCAGCAGGCCTGGTGTCATGTGAATAAACCTATGGTCAAAGAACCCAAAGTCCTGCCAGTGACACCAGGCTTGCTCTTCCTGTTTATTACCTTATTCATCCTGACAACTGGAGAGATAGAGGAAAACACTGCTTGTGCTCCTGGTCCCATAACCTGTCCTACCGCTCTGAAGTCTCTCTTCATTGCCTTTGAACTTCATTGCTGCTACTTCATCATTGCTACTTGATCTCTGTCTACCTGAAAGATCAATAGTGAGTAGTAATCCAAGGGCTGTACTAGGGAAGGAGGCTTGCTCTGTACATCTTTAACCTGGGCCCCAGGGAGGCAGCTGACTTCCCTATGTAGGGGATCCAGTCTGCATATTGGGTCTTCTGCTCCCATCAGAAGTGAGTCACCTGTGGCCGTGACCCATCTTTTTTTTCTTTACTGAAATAGTTTTGGTGCAATTTGCAGTCCCACTTAACCTTAGAGACACCTCCAAGCTAGGTAAACTATCCACTTTGTCAGCATTCAGTTCCCCTTGCAGAGCACTGTATGTATTTTTCAAGGGTGACTGGGAAGCTGTGGTAGTTGCTGGGGAGACATGCCCACAGCACCTGCTGTGCTGGATGGGAACTTACTGCCATTTTCCCCTGTCCTCTAAATCACCACTTTAATCCAGGCAGAGGGACAATCTGGACTTCTTTGTGTCATGAGTCCAGTCAGCCTGTCGGGCTTTTTTCAGGGAAGGCAGGTTGTGGCTTCAAGCAGCGTCTCTCTCTCTCACATTCCCTGTTGCTTGTCAACCTACTCAGCTCTTCCTGGATCTACATCACTAGGCAGAGGATTTCTTCCACTTGGGCACATCTCCCACAGGCTTGCTCACTGCTACCATCAGATAATGGTGTGAGAGGAGGGCACACCTTGCAGCCTGACACCTGGGTGGTAGCATTTTCCAATGAGAACTCAGTCTTAGTGTGTGCAGAGCTATGGCCTTCTTCCAGGTGGATGCTATCACTCCCTTGCTGAGCTTCAGTGCCCTTCTTGTGCAAATTGTCACACAAAGTGATATGCCTTGCTCTGGCTGGTGTGACAAACTGTTTGTGCTAGGGCACCAAAAACAGACAAAAAAAAAGGTCAGCTAGATAGGATTTAAGGAAAGATTCATGTGGTTTTGGTAATTTTTGTTTGCATTATAATTGAAAGGTTACTACTAATACATTATCAAGCCAATGCTGTTATTTTGAATGAAATTCTTATGCAATGTGTGACTAATGAGAAATAAATGCAGCTTACACAATGCATTTGGGAGATCCTATTTATATGAATTATTTTCTGAAAAGAAAGATTAAACCAAAAATTCCATCAATGTTAATGTACATTTATAGAATCACTTTGTGGTATTTTATAATAAGGTGATTACATAATAAATGTAAAAATACATCTTTTTGGAGGAGATAAGGAAAATAAGTATAGACTCATTTCTCTTCTAAGGTAATGTTAATTTTTAATAAGCCAATGGTCTTTGATAATTTTTGGTGTATATATTTAAACAAAAGCAGTCACAAAAGCACATTTTGGGTTGGTTCTTAATTACTTTATGCTGAGATGTATTGCCCTATCTTCTTTAAGATTTTTTTTTGTTAAAATCCAATTCAGAATGTTAACCTGGCCAGGATGACTGAATTAGGTTGCATTGTATTTTAAGTATGACTTTCATGACTGCAGACAAGTCATATAATTATGATGGGCATCTTTATTAAATTCCTATATATATAATATATATATTATATTTTTAAAAAGCCCTTGTTCTAGAAGACTAACATGCTGACAAATTTGATTGAAGAACAAAAATATTGCGAATGCAAGCAATAAATGCAAAACCTCTATATTTTTTGCTTAATATGTTCTATGATTTGTTCTTTTCTTTGTGAATTGACTATGTTGATAGCAAATATGTTTTCTGAAGTAATTCATGTTTTCTCTAAATATTAAGAGTTAACAGTGAGTATATTTATGTTTACTTTGGCAGTAAAAAAAGAGGATGAAGATTTTGAAGAAAAGAAATCCATTAAGAAACGAATCAAAGAATTAAAAGTTTTGGACCCCAAGATTGCACAGAATCTGTGTAAGTAGGTTCTGGCTAAATGACAACCTAATGTTCCATAAATGTTCCATTAAAATGTCTTTTTTTTTTTTGTCTGGCTGCCTTGTAGCCACTTTTTATTTAAAGTGCATGAGAATATATGCAGTAATTGATGTTAAGCTCAAACATGTCAGTTGATACAACTGAAACGTATTTTTAAAGACCCAGTAAACAGTTAAAAAAGGTTATCCCTGCTCAAGACTGAAATTATTCTCTTCTGTACATATTGAAGTACAAGCATACAGATATATATCTAATTATCTACCTATAATTTCATCATATTCATCCAGGAATCCTGCTTGCCCTGCTCCATCAAAAAAGACAATAATGTCTGTGAGATGTCTGGTCATCTCTTTATAGTGATGTACTTTAGAGAAAGAAGCCAATAATCAATAAAATGCAATAATATGCAAATAGAGTTGATAAAGTTTTGGAAGAGAGGAGATCTGTACAGAATAGATTTCTAAATGGTGACAGAGATAAAATAGCAAATAATTGGATTATGCTTAAAATTGAGCAGTTTTTCTAAGAGAATTTTGGTTGTTAATTGTTTATATGGTTTTGGTTTCTCATGCTGCTTTTTTACAAGAAACCTCTAACATCACCACTGAAGAAAAAGCTTAATTGTCCCCTTAGCACAAAGTGCTATATTGGCAATGACTAGTCAGTGACTCTTTATGATTGTCTTCTGGGATGCTGGATATTTTGCATAACAAATGGCTGGAGAAGGCTGGAATTGCAGGAGAATAGTGAATAAAAATACATTTAAAATTTTATCTCTTATCTGTATTACTTTACATAGTGTTTGCTAACCTGTAGGTGCTATGGCTTCTTTAATGGGTGCTTTGTAAGTAGAAAAAAAGAGTTGTTTTCTTGCTTTCTTTATTATGTGTTGAATCTCTGTTTTAGCAATTTTCCTTGGTTCTTTCCGAGTGCCTTATGAGGAAATTAAAAGGATGATATTAGAAGTAGATGAAACACAACTGTCAGAGTCCATGGTTCAGGTAAGGAAAATGACACTTTAAATTCCAGTATTTCAGGGAAAGCTGCTCATTGAATAGAAACTTATAGCTAAAAAACCTCTTAACTTAAGCTTTTGGCTAATAAATCACTGAAATATTTTTTTTTCCCATAAACTATAGGGATTTTGTATTTGTAAAACAGTTTTGTTTTTTTTTTTTCATGAAGGCAGCTGAACCTGTATGCTTTATTTTTTGCATTCATATTGTCTTGACGTAAATTGAGATTTTTCTTTGGTATCTGTTCAAACAGCAGATGATATTCTGTTTCTTCCCTAGTTATTTTTTTTCTTTTGTTTCTACCTCTGTCTCATCTGCATAAGTATTGTTTCAGTCGAAAACTAGATGGAAAAAGGTTTGAGTTTTTTGGGGATTTTGTTGTCTTGTGGTTGTTCTTTGATTTGGTTTCATTTTGGTTTTTCTTTTCCCTGTAGAGTTTATTTTTATAGTGTTTTTCCCTTTCTGTGTTATTTTGTTCCAAGCACAAAATCAGTATGATTAGGGTTGATAAATCAAATAATTTCATAAAATAATTTAAATGCAAATACCTTATTATAGAACCATGGAGAAAAATAATTTGGAAGGGATGTCTGGAGGTTGTTTTATCCAAGTCCCTACTCAAAGCCAGGTCAACTAGAGTAGGTTCCTCAGGGTCTTTTCCTATTAAATTTTTAGTATCTCCAAGGCTGGAGACTCCATAGCCTTTCTGGACACCTTTTCTTGTGTTGAACTACCTTCATGGTGAAAAATGTTTTCTAATTGGAATTTTCATTGTTGATCTTTTTCTTCTACTGCACACCTCCAAGGGGAACCTAACTGTATCTTCTCTGTACCTTCCAACTGGAGTGGAATCTAGAACACATTAAGGTCTCCTGAGGCTTCTTTTCTTACAGTTAAACAAACCCTCTTCTCTCAAGTTCTTCTTGCCTGTTGTGTGCTGTGTTTCACAGTCATCTTGACTGGTGTACGTTAGATTTGAAAAGATATTTCTTTAGACCAACATTGTCTATCTTTTGGACAGAACTCCTACATATTGCGATAAACTTGGTTGTTGCTGTTATGGCTCATACATTTGAAATCATAATTATTATCATTCTACTAGTAACATGGCATAGGTTTCACTTACAGATGCTATAGAGACCAGCTAACTAAAGTATACCTGAAAGTGTGTTAGAGACATGGGTTCCAGTCCCTACCGAAATATCTGTTGCGGTTTGGAACAACACAACAACAAAGCAACAACCCTATGGCCTCTCACTCTGGTCTCCCCCCTACACACACATTCTGGGATGAGGAGGACAAAGCACCTTGGTTGAGACAAAGGACAAGGAGGGTTCTTCACTGATTGAGGTCCCAGGCAAAACAGACTTGGGGAAAAAATAATAATTTAATTTCACACTGATCAAACACACACAGGGGCACAGACAACGCAAAGAGTAGGGCTTGCATATGTTACCCCATCCCTCCCGTCTTCCCAGGCCCAAATCACTTTGTTCCCGGTTTCTCTCCCTCCTTCCCCCCAGCGGCACAGGGCGACAGGGGATGGGGTTTAGAGTCAGTTCACAGGCTGGTAGTTCTTGCTGCTCCTTCCTCGTCAGGAAGGATTCCTTACAGTCCTTCCCTGCTTCCCCACTGGGTCCCCCTCATGGGAGAGATTCCTCCACAAACCTCTCTTTCATGAGTCCTTCCCACGGGGTCTGGAGCTGCTCCAGTGTGGGCTTCCCACAGAGTCATGGGCTGCTTCGGGAACAGCCAACTCCCCTCATACTGGGGATTTCCAAAGCTGTGCAACCAGAGTCCACTGGCAGCAAATCCTCTGGCCACAAAATCCAAGTCCAGTGGCCAAGTTCACCCCTCCTGGCACCTTCAAGGAATGTTCCATCACGTTCCTCCATGAGTACAGGGGGACAGTTGCCAGTTGGGTTGCCAGTTGGGTTGCAGGGAAACTTCTACTAGGCCCCCTTCCCCTTCCTTCCTCACCAACCACCAGCACTGTTCTCCTTCCCCAGCACTGCTCTTCTCCTCCAGCACAGCTTTTCTCCCCCAAGTGCTTCCCTGCTCAGCTCTTATCTCAGTGCTTTCGTATGTTAATTGCTGAGGCCCATCTATTGTGCCTCTAATGGCTCCTTGGTTGGTTTTGAAGCAGGGGGAGCTTCTTAGCTTCTTAGGGAGCTGAGGCCCTTCTGTGGCCCTTCCCTCGCTACCAAAAAAACCACCAAACCAGAACAATATCGAAAGAAGATGAAGGTAGAATTTTAGAAATTTATGCTTTTTGAGGGAATGTTGATTAGCTGAAGAAGTAATATAGGCAATAGAGCCATAAAATGAGTTGTAACATTAAGACATTTGAGATTCAGATGTGTGACTTGTACTGTAACTCATAGCAATTTGTATTCAAAGGTCAAAACAAAGCAAATATTTATGTGCTTTGCTTGCAAAATAAATTTCCGCCATGTTGGAATGTCCAGATAAGGTCCTAGGGAGGAGGCTGTACAATGTTCAGTATGCTCCTTTTCTTTTCACGTGCAGTTTGGCCCTCATTTCTAGTCACTTGGATTTCAAAGATCTTCAGACTCTGTTGAGCTACTTGGGATTTCATTTTCCTTTAAAAGGAGCTTGTCTACTGATTTGTTTGAAGAGTGAAAGGGTTCTCTTAAGAAATATTTGAAGTAACAAACATGAGCTGTCATTGCCAGTGAAAGTATATATAATCATTATATAATTCTCTTTATTTTGGTCAGTGATGCAGTAAATACTGGCACAGAAGCTATTGCTTTAGGGTTATTAGGTGAACAGAGCAGTTTACACCTCTAAGCTCTTTGTTGATTCCAGTCTGCGCTTACATCACTTTTCTTTTTCAAGGTTTTCTTAATTTCGAAATGATCCATGAAGCGTGTCTTTATTTTATTTTATTTGGAATATTAGTCAAAATTCTCTAAAATAGCATGAAAAGCTGAGAAACGGAATATGCTATGCAGTTATGTGCAGCTTGAACTGTGTCAATTCATACTTGTTCTGAGACTGTCTCTCATGCTATTTCTTCTTAACACTGTATTTCAGTGATGAAAATTTAGCTTATTAATAAAATAAGATTCTCTACAATATAATATATAATATAATGAAGCAACCTGTAAATTCTAAATAAATATTATATATAAAAATTATGAGAAACTGGCATTGGTAATTTTGTATGTCTTATTTGAAGAAAGCAAAGCTTTTTTTTTTTTTAATCTAGGGTCTGGGTAAAAAAGTCATCGAGCCATTAAGGGCAGTTAATGAATAGAATGCTTTGATGTGAACACTGCTAAACATTCCATCAGTTGCAATAAGCTAAGAAGAAAAACTTTACTTTTATTGAGAATTGTTGTTTTTTTAAGATTTTTTATTTCCTCTAGTTTTCCATTTCAGTGGTACATACCTTGATAAAAAGAATGCCTACTTTTCTGTATGTTGAAAACAGCTAACATGAGGTAGCTCCACTTTATCCTCTGTACAATATGCACAGCTAAAAATAACTTTTGACACTATGCTGATAATCTTGTTAGTCTTAATTGGTATTAACAGTAAAGTATATTGAAATCTAGTGTATTCAGCTACCTCTCGGTATAGTTCTTGATATCAGAATTGAGTCTGAAGTATTTTTGTCAATGTTTGAGTCATTTTGTGTTTGCTCTTGGAGGGGAGGGAACAATTTCATTAAAGAAAAGGATAAGAGAAGTTGAAGAACCAAACATGAGGTTAGGAATAAGGTCCTACAAGAGGACAATGATGTTAACAGCTGCTGTAATTTAGTGAAAGTCAGTGTAGTAGAATAAAAGTGATAATGCTCACAATATCCTCTATGAGCACAGTCATAGATATAACAAGTCATACTGTTAGAGGATGGCAGGTCCCACATACTGGGGTTTTTTTACCTATATAAATTATTCAAGTGTATTGATTGCATTTTTTTTTGCAAAGTGATTAAACACTTGCAGGTCTAAATCAGATGGAAAATTCAGTAGAACTTAGGCTTCAAATTCACTGCAAGTTTGGATGTAATAATTTTTATCAAATGGTTTCATCTGAGTTTCTTGTTTCTGGGTGTAACAACCCTGTAATAATTTTGAAAAAGAACCATCAGAGTTTAAACTCAAAAATGCACCTAAGACACTCACCTTCCTTTGGAGTGATAGAATAATGTACCTCATTGCCTTAAGAATTTGATATCCATTTTCATGTATACTTAGGTTACTAAATAGATTTAGGTATCCAGCTGTTGCTGTTTCTGCCTTTAAAAACTTTCACAATATGGGTTATGGTCATGCTGTGAAAATGTAATCCTGTACGTTTTCTGATTGTGAGAAAAGCAAAAGCATACATAGAATTACAAGCATATGGCTATTTGTATGTATCTATATAAAATACCTTAGGTATTATGGTACTTCTCCTCTCTAAACATCTCTTGCCTTAATCAGTTTTTTTCTGTCTAGTTTTAAATATTGTTTAGTGTATCCTAATGTCAATTTCTGAATTTGGAAATTTGTCCTGAATCTTACCCTTTTATTATACTTAAGGAGTAAAATATGCCCCCCCAATTCTCTTTCCCCTGCCTTCACCAGTTAGGTCTAGTTCTTAAAGACACAAAGACTCCAGAATTCATGTTGTAATCCAAATAGTCATTGACTAATTATTAGAATGTTTCGTGTGACTTAGTAAAAATTGTTCCTTCTGCTTGTTCTCTGATATTCAAAATGTGTTTGATCTTTAGCAGTTCAAAAGCTATTTTTTAACACCATAAAGCTGCTTTGATTTCAGCTGCTGCTTCAGGTGGTTTTTCATTTGGGTAAGCTTTTGTTTTGAAAAAAATAGAAAATAAATTAACCATTTTCAAAATACTTCTCATCTAACATTAATAATTCTTTCCATCCTTAAGCTGTTTATGGCACACTTTGAATTCTTACTCTGCCTTCCCTCTTCTATTTGCTTAGTGCCTATCAAGCATATTTTTTCTTTAAAAGTGGAGTTTAAGAAAAGACTACGGCAATGCTTGTAGAATAAGCAAAATATGCTAGCTAGCAATATTTAGTCACTTTCTACACTCCTAGTTACATTACTTTGTGTGTTGCCAAATTACATTCAACTGTGTTCAGGGAGGAGTGTTGTCTTTAGACTGAATGGTAACTGTTCATATGTAATAGCATTTGCCTACAATAATGCAAAGCATATAGAATCTGAGATTTTTAAGCCTATTTTCTTTCTTTGATAGAATTTAATAAAGCATCTTCCAGAACAAGAGCAATTGAATGCATTGTCGAAGTTCAAGAGTGAGTATAATAATTTGTCTGAGCCGGAGCAGTTTGGAGTTGTGGTGAGTTCTGGTTTGTTATCACTTTTGTCTTTTCCTGAAATACAGTTTTAATATACAATACCGAAAAAATAGCAACTGTTTCTTCCTAAATGTGAAGAGGTTCCAGACTGGGAGGAGACTACAAATGCTGCCTTTTAGTCAGACTTTTAGTGGACATATCCATGGATGTGGAAGGCCTGACTGTTGGAATGTTACAGTTGGAATATTTGGGAGCTCTCTTTCTTTAAGTAATGTAGTTTACAAACAAAAAGCCAAACCAAATTAGTGGTATTTTCTGTGGCAAAAATTTCACTGGGATATATGGAACTAGTTTTTCATTTTATAGCTAAAATAGTTTGGTTTTGCTTTTTTTTTTTTGCATTACTTATCTTAACTTTTTCAGCAAAGTTTTCTACACTGATGGTTTTCTTTCTTTTCTCCATGTAAATGAGAAGAGAATACAGTAGTTATCACTATATCAACCTATTCTGCCTCTTTCCTCCTGTGTTTTACAATATGTTCTGTCAACAGTATTTGTAGTCATTTTTTCCATTCCCAGTAGAAAAATCCATTTATAGTATTTCCCAGGTTGAATTAACAAAGGAAGACTAGAAGAGAGAAAATAAAATATTGCTTGTTCAGTGCTGGCAGTTGATGCTTTTTGTGGAAATACTGTTTGTCTATAATGTTAAATAATTTTTACTTAATAATTCATAGTTGTTAATGGTTTGATCCAAAAAAACACAGATTATGACTATTTCTTTTTCCTGTGTAGATGTCTTTTTTTGGTCCACTCTTGGGGTTTCAAGTTAGGATGGTTATTGTTAGCTTCATCTAGGAGAATTTCCTTGCGAGGAATTAATTATTTTAGATGTGTCTGTGGGCTTCAGGAAAAGGGGCATCATGTCTTTGCAGGCACTTGCTTGTGGTAGTAATCTGTGTGGATATCAAATGCCTGTACTTAAATATTGGAACAGCTGGAGTACAGGTATAGGGTTTAAGAACAACAATCACTATTCTGAATCAACAGAACATTGGTCTGGTCAGGAAACACCACTGCGTTGAATTGGTGCCAGTTGCAGATTTGACACAGGTAGTCTTTTTGAGTACAGGTATTTGTAAAACAAAACTGTTTCTGAAATGGTGCTTTTGCTGAAAGCTGTTACCACTGTTACTTTTTGATCCATCTTTAACAAGAGTAGCAGTCATAATACATTTAATGTAATGATGGTTTCTGTGTTCTTGGGAGTCTTCCATCTACACTCTGGGAGCAAGAAAAAAAGCTTAACACCATCACCACTGTTTTTAAAGCTTTTATTTATTTTCCAAGGTTTTCACATATAGTTTTCTGATTGAAGCCAAATGATCAATTTCTCTTGGTCCAAATTTCCCAGCTACGAAGCCAGTGAAATCTTTTGCTATTTATTTCTTGTTGAGGTTTTATCAGACATTCAAGGGATCTATTTATAGTTCATCTCTATCTTATCCTTACTTTATTTGTTTGAATTATCACCACTTACCTCAAAAGGTCATTGAATAGGTGTCTGAGATTCTTTAAAAAGAAGTATCCACCCTTAACCAAAAAAGAAATCCAGTCAAAACATCTCTTGTTGCTTTATAAGATGTGAAACTAATGCTTTCAGCACCTCAGTTGCTTGCAAAGAACACAAAAAGTCTAAAGCCTGAGAAATCACTACCTTTTTAACTGGATTTCTAATAATATTTTTTTATTCAATTCCAAAAATAACCTTAGTTTAAGAAAGGTAGTCTTCATAATGGTAAGTTTTAGGTTTTGCCACGGGTGACAAGCCTTTTCATACTGTCAGCATTGGACCCTCTTTATGTAAACGTTTTTTGATTTAATGTTGTAAGTTTTACGTATACATCATACATTGGTTTTTCTTTTAAAAAATACAGTAAAAATGATCTATTCTGGAATTGAGCTTGGTAAATGCTGCACTTCTGTTCAATAATATTAGAAGTTAATGGGTTTCCAGGAAATTTAATATTAGAAAAAAAGGGTAGATTGTTGATGGAGAGGAGAGTTTGGTATGTATTGGTCGTACTGAGAAAAGTTCAAGTGTCCTGTGCTGAATAAAGTAGACTGAACACAATGCTTTTCCCTGATAACTGTGTATGCTGAAATGGCAGAGATAAGCCCATCTCTAAACTTCTGCAGCTTCATTTGAGTCTGACAAATTATGTCAAAATGCCAATAAAGATGGATTTACAGCAGTAAATGTGAGCATGAACTGGATTGGCTGAGAAGCAGACACCTATTTGACCATGCCAAACAATTCAAACAGCAATATGTATGTAACTGACTCCTTGGGGTAATGCTTACAAAGGAACATTACATGCAGAGTTATGCATTTTTAATTGATTTAGTAAAATCATAGTTAAGCAACAAACATTGTTTTACTTTATTAAGTCAAATAAACATTGATTCAAAAAAAGACATACTAAAATTATTTTTCTTTACTATTTTTATTCTGTATTTAAGCCTCAGTTCTTAACTGGAGAGTCTTTTGCTCTTTAAAAATGTCAGACTAACTACTATTGCACATACTAATAACAGTAACAATGAAAATGTGTGTCAGCGTTTTCCAATTGATCAGGAGCCCTCTAATACTTAATACGTCTTCTGTAAAGAAACTTTACTTACAGGCAAAAAAGTGTTGATTTTTTAATTTTTGCTGTAATCAGACTAGCATAACCAACATTATATTTTATTTTAAGCACAAATCTCTAGTTTTAATTATTTCAGAGTAAACATTTATTGGAGCATTTATTGGCAGTTGTTATAATACCATATTGTTGTCTCTGTAATGCTAACAGTATCCTCACTGTTGCACTGATGAGTTTCATCTAAAAAGGCACTTGAGTTGGCAAGCAGAAAAAGTGTCTGCTTAATAACCACTAAACCTTCCTAGTATTGATATAGTATTCTATGGTCTAACTGTCTTCTACTGAGTAATAACATTTCTGAAAACACTCTTACACGCATTAGTGTTACTTAATTCAATCACATGAATCTTTTAATTACACCCCTTTCAGCACTATCTATTTGTTGCTTTGTAAATGAGGATATATTTTAAAGCATCTCTGCAAGTTAATTCACAGTTTTCTTAGATTTTACACAATAATTCATTTTATTCCACTCTCCTTTTGCTGTGTCTTTTGAAATCTATACTATATTACTATTAAATGAATTTATTAAATTTTATTAAATGTATTTATACTATTAAAGTATAAATACATTTGAAATTATTATATTTTTATGACATTAATTGACTTGTATTGATTGACAAGGTGCAACATTATTGGTAGGCATTTTAACCTCTAATTATTTCTTTTGGATGTACCAATTCAGCTAGATGGGACTGTCAGTCTGATGAGAACTAGACCAGTAGTGCTATAGGTGAAGTTTTGCTGGGCCCATCTGATTTGATATTTTTTTCTTTAAAATTTGAGGCAATGTCATAATTCAGAAAAATGTTGTATTAAATTATAAGATTTCTTAAATCTCAAAAGTTGGTAGAGGTCCTTCTCTGAAGGAACAATCAGATTCCTACTGAATAGTTCAAGTATGAGCTTTCCCTAGTTTTCCATGCAAAGCATTAAATAAACCCTGACAAAACTAAACTCTGTCATTAGGCACCATTTTTCTAGTGTTACACTTTCTGTTCCTCCAATTAGAAGAAGTAGAAGAGCTGACTTCAGATAACCATGCTATAGTCAGTTTGTAACATGAAATATTTTTCATTTCTCTTGGAGGGTGAAGTTTTGAGTACATCACTAACTCTTTGAGTATGGAATTTACATATTTGCTTTTTATGAAGGTTCTTCAATCTCCATCAGCCTCTCTTGTACTCTTTGTTTTTTTCTGGCTGTAGAGTTTGCTAAGAATTTCTGCTGATTTCTTTCTATTGCCAACAGGCAATACAGATTTATCTTTTAGCCAAGTAGTCTCTTATAAATATGGTATTTCAGAAAATTTGGAGATCTCATGTTAATTTGCTCTCAAGTTTTGCTTAAGGGAAAGACTAACAATTTGACTCCCAAGGAAGAGCTAACCAGTGAATAAAATTATAATTACTACTTGTATGATGATAAAAACTTTTATAATGGAAACATTTTATCCTTCTGGCTATAATTCAAAGTAAAGATTGGATACTCTGAAAGAAACAGGTAGACACTTGCTGAGATACTGGCATGCTGTGACTGTCATGGTATGGTATGTCTGCTGTTGACCTAAAGACACTGAGGGCATGACTCTAAACTGTTCAGGTTCCCTTCACGAGTGTGGCTTGGGGTTTTTTTCTTTAGGTGACTCTGGGTTGTTTTTGTGGTTTCTTCAATTAGCCTCTTCTTTTTAAGTTACTTTGCACTTTTATGTTCATTCAGCTGTAAGTATGAAATAAATCTCTTCTTACTCTTATATTCTCTTCCAGATTTTGGGTTTTATTTAGATGAACTACCTCATTTTCCTGTATGTTCTTTCTTTCACTTATTTGGCACTGGTGTCTGAGGACATAGATATTATCACCTACTTAGTGTGAAGTCTGGTTTTTGGATTTTTTTTGTTTGCGCACAGCCATGAACTACTGTATGAAAACTATGTTTTTATGAAAATGGTGTTTTAAATCTCTTCATCTTGTTCAGCACTTTAACTTAGCTTCACAGTACTGTCTCAAGTTGATGCTGTTTTGAATGCTGTGTTTAGCTGCTCACAGTCTTTATGAAGTGTGCTTTTGCTTGCCAAAATTTGAATATTCAATTGCATTTTGTTTTGCTGTAGTTCATGTTTTGTTTTTGGTTTACAGAGTGCAATAAACTTCCTCCTAAAGCAATTCTGCCTTCATATTATATTCTTGGAGGTTTCATTGACCATGACTGATACTGAGCGATGTGTTCTGCAAAACTTTGAAATGATGAAGACTTCTATTTGTGTTTAGAAATGAGTAATCCTACAATAGCACATTTGGAATGTGAAACTTGTTTGAGATGAATGGTTTCAG